GAGGGAGGAATGGAGGAGGGAGAAAGGGAGGAAGGGGGAAGGGAAGGGAGGAGGGAGGAGGGAGGAATGGAGGAGGGAGGAAGGGAGGAGGGAGGAAGGGGGAAGGGAGGAAGGGAGGAGGGGGGAAGGGAGGAAGGCAGAAGGCAGGAAGGCGGAAGGAAGGAAGGGAGGAGGGAGAAAGGGAGGAGGGAGGAAGGAGGAAGGAGGAAGGGAGGAAGGAGGAGGGAGGAAGAGAGGAGAGAGGAATGGAGGAGGGAGGAGGGAGGAAGGGGGAAGGGAGGAGGGAGGAAGGGAGGAAGGAGGAAGGGGAAGGGAGAAGGGCTAACTCATGTTAGGTGCCCTGGGTGTCCCCGTATGTGGCTTCACAGGATTGTGGCTAAATCCTTTGTAGTGTACTCATCTGCCCAGGGATACCTCCCCCAGGCTGCGAGCTCCATCCGGACAGGGATGATATGAATCTCTCATCTTTTGCTTCCCTTGGGGTGCAGCACAGGCCTGGCACAGAGCCAGGGCTGAGCAACAATGGAACAAGGACCTGAAGTGGTAGCTGAGTGGTCCAGGCCAGTGTGGGCCTCTTCCCAGGGAGGACAGCACCCACGGCACTGTGGGATGGGGCTTCTGGGCTAGCTGATAGCCTTGCCACCTCCTGTAATCTTGGGGCACACTGATGACCGCCAGGTTGGGAGGCACGCCCCTGCCCGCCTTCTCCACTGTACCTTCTGGAGAAAGTTGTAGAGTCTGGCCCGGAGGATGTAGACGTCGGCGTTGGTGGTGTCCTGCTTCAGCTCCTCGGTGATGAGTGAGAGGCAGGCCGGATGCTGCTTGAGGGCCAGGAGACAGGCCATGCTGAGGGCAGAGGGAACAGAGTGCTCTGGTTCCCGGGTGGGGCGTCAGGAAGCCGCTGCTGGGAGAAGGGTCCAGCAAGGGCACTCACCATCGGTAACGGAAGCACGCTTTCTCAGGCTGGAGCTCGGCAGCATGTGAGAAGACATTCAGGGCATCCAGGAAGGCACACTGCTCAAAAAGGCATTGCCCCTGGGGACACAGGGGACAGTCAATTCTGCTTGCCACCCCAGCCCCGCTGCACCCCCTGGTTGGCAGCCGAAAGCCCTGAGGCAGGAGGGGAGAGATACAAGAGACAAGGATAGAGCCTTTTAGATCTGGGAGAGACTTGAAGAGGCAGAGACACAGAGACAGAGATGGAGAGAGATACAGATCTGGGGAAAGACAGCAAGAGTCGGTGAGAGATACACACTTGGCAAGAGACAGGAATACAGAGATTCAGGAACAAAGAGAAATGGAGAAAACTCAGATGGCTGGGCCAGACACGGTGGCTCACGCCTGTTATCCCATCCCAGCCCTCTGAGAGGCTGAGGCAGGTGGATCACTTGAGGCCAGGAGTTTGAGGCCAGCCTGGCCAACATGGTGAAACCCCGTCTCTACTAAAAATACAAAAATCAGCTAGGCATGTTAGTGCGTGCCTGTAATCCCAGCTACTCAGGAGGCTGAGGCACGAGAATCGCTTGGACCCGGGAAGCAGAGGTTGCAGTGAGCCGAGATCATGCCACAGCCCTCCAGCCTGGGCGACAGAGCGAGACTCCATCTCAAAACAAACAAAAAAACAAACAAACAAAAAACAGAATCTCAGATGGCAGAAGAGACCAACAGAACTAACATGAACATGCTGTAGCCTGGCCCTGGGCCCTGGGTGCTGAGCCCTGTGCTAAGAACTTCAACTTGTTTTCTCACTGGCACTCGCATGCTTCTCTTATAGATAAAGGAACTGAGGCTCAGAGAGGTGGAGTGACTTGCATAAGGGCACACAGGAAGTGGCCGTGCAGGACACGGGCCCGCAACAGACAGATTCAGCACATGGTCTGAG